AATAAAACTTGTTCATGTGTTGCCAAAAAAGGATCATATATGTCAACATAAATGTACATGTACTTATAAAAACGAAAGTGTTTTTACATGTGTAATAAAAAATATGCATGCAAATCAAAATAAATGTTTGTATATTTCAAAGAAATATTCATCTGATGGACAAATGCTCAACCGCATTACCTTGACCATGTGCATTACTAGCCCTGCGACTCATCAGGAGTATGGATCACCCAACTGAAAAAAGAGTATGCTACACATGTTGCAGCTACCAATCCAAGCCATTTTAAGAGATTCGCATGTGCAACTCCTCTGCCTTATTATGTTTGAAGGAAAACAAATTTGAAATGATTCATATTTTCTCTTTTGCAGAAAGAATCCAATGATGTGGAAACAACATTTTGAACTTTTCAAAAATTCTTAAAAAAAATCTGGCGTGTTATAAAGATGATTTTCCATAAACATTTGAAATTCAAGTTCAAATGCACATTCATTTGGGAGGTAAGGGAAAACAAATCATGCATCAACATTGATGTTGTATTGTTTGTACTACATTGAAAAATAGTTTTCACTTGGTTTTCATCAAAGAAAATATGTTTCACCTGCACCACCTCGGGCGCAATCGTGTCCTCTGTTAATGATAATCTAGGTCAAAAACAAACTCCCCCATCCCCTAACCTTTGTGGCAATTCCATAAAAGCTCACATTCCCAAACTAAATATTGTGAATAGGGGTGGCGCTAGGGGTCAACCTCTTCAAGGAACAACGAGAAAAGGCAAGAAGTAGTGGCACTGCCAAATGGGACGCAACAGGAGCAATGCACACTAGAGGAACATTCTCGCATGAGAGAGAAAACCATGAAGGGAAACGAGGGCAGCATGTATGCATTCGCACACTAATCTGATCTATGGATTGGTCGGTCCAGGGAAAGAGAGTTAATCGCATGTTGGTACCACACTTACGCACCTACTCACGAATCAGTACCGCTACTCATGCATGTCGCAGTTCAGTACCAACTCAGGGCCTAAGTGGTGCATAACGGGCTAAGGAGCGTATAACAGTGTATTGATGTTGTATCTGACCGGCGGGACCCCCTGTCAGGTGCTGATGTGTCATGCTCTTTTGCAAAAAAGACCTTCAGTTTATATTTAATCGCGTATATACCCCTTGTTTGGCAGAAAAAGGTCCTGGTACAAGAAAACTTTTTTCAAAAATAACCACACGGGCGCGTACTGCCGGGATTCGAACCAGCTCCGTGCCTTTCGATGGGTAAGCTAGCTGCCACTGCGCTGCCGCTGCTTTCACGTCAAAAGCCACGCGTAAAGTTATATATACTATGTGCCTTTCGTATTTTTTTACAAAATAGAAAATTGAGCGACCGTCCGCCGGAAATCGACCCCGCCGAGTCGCTCGCCGTGCGCGCTTGCTGCCTCTGCCCCATGCCATCCTATGTGTCAACTAATACGCGTATAAGTCTTTAAACTCGACGTTCTGGTTTTTATATGATATTAAAAATTATTATATGTTCATCGCATCGTACGATTAAAGAAATGTTCGCCGCATCCTTTAATATGTATATATATTGCATATTCTAAAAAGTTTAAATGGCAAAAGTTAACCACACGCGCATGCTGCCGGGTTTCGAACCCGCAATGTGCCGTTGGAAGCATTAGCCCGCTGCCGCTGCGCTAGTGTTACCATTACTTCAATAGGGACGCCTAAATTCTTTTATACCTTGCGACTTTCGGTTTTTATGAAGTAACGCGCGCCCGTCCGCCGTAAATCGATCTGCGCCGAGTCGTTCGCAGCGCGCGCTTGCTGCCTCTGCCCCACGGCATCCTATGCGTCAACTCGTTCGTATACGTCTTTAAACTCCGAACAGTTTTGATTTTTATACGATATAAAAAATATTATCTGACATTAAAAAATGTTTATCGCGTTGTATGATTAAAAATATGTTCATTGCATCATATATTAAAAGTTCATCTTATAAAAGCGTAGCGTATATTAAAAAATGTTCACCACATCTTTTAATATATATATATATATATATTAAACATTTATTAATATACAATGATCTTATTTAAATATACGATTTCGTATTACAGAAAGTTTATCGTTTATATGTTGAACATTTTATAATATATGATATCTATATATATATGTGTGTGTAATTTTTTTCAATATACATTTTTTTGCGGGGAATTTTTTCAATATACGTTGCGCACACTGATTTCGGTCTGAAGAATACACAAGCTCTGAATAATAGACCTGCTGGCCTCCGCTTTGTTTTTGGGTTGACGTTCAAAAAATTTATAATTACTCTGAAAGGTAAATAAAGTGTTTGTGCATTTTGAAAAAAAGTTCAGAACATTTTTGGGAAAAGTTGAACGTGTATTTAATAGTTGTAAATGTCTTTACTAAAATGTTCATCATGTATTATAAAATTTATTACGATAACACAATAATTTTTAATACATGTTATCAATTTTTCGAGTAACTGTGCATTAAAAATTACAACAAATATAAGATGAACATTTTTTTTACATACG